CAGCTCCCTCTGGAGGATGGCAGGGGCTCCAATCCATCCACCCCACCTTTCAGCACCGGCTCGGGAGCCCCAAGAACAAGGTCCCTCCACTGCTTTTCCCCTGTCCCATTCTGAAAACAGCAGGCACTGGCTGAGAACCCTGGCTATTGCTATGGGAACCTGGCTGCAAGCTTCCAGACCGCAGCTTGATTCCCCTCCCCTCTGGAACCAACAGTGAACTTTTGTTTGGTTTGGGGTAATATTATAACTCATAAGGCTTTGCAAAATTGTTCTGAGTTGCACCCTTAGTAGCGAAGAGTGAGTACCTAGACTTCTAACTTTGACTTCAGTTCCACTAGATGCTGGAATGTAGTGGAGACCCATAAACTCTAAGGGCACCTATATATGTGCCTGATGCCTGCTTCAACACATGCATCGGCACAGACTCAATTACTCAATTGCTGGAGCATGCTAATTAGCATGCTCCAGCAGCTTCAGCATCACATGTATTCAGCATTCCTATGCTTCAAAATGGTGGTGGAGATGCTTTATCTGAAGGTTATTGAACACGCTTTAGTTAAAGCACCTCTGTTGCCATTTTGAAGCTCGGGAAGCTGAATACATGAGACGCTGCAGGCGCTTTAATTAGAGTGGCTCCCAAGAGCCACACTAATTAAAGTGCCCCTCACCCCAGAGCACATGTAAAGATGTCCTAATTCACCAGAGGGGCTCAATCTCAATCCTGCCTAATGAACACCAGTAGCATTGAGTTCAGTACAAAGTGCCCATGGTTACCTGAGTAAAAGGGATGCCCATTGTCTGTATCTTAGCCTACTGGTTTAAGTATCTACCTGGAATGGGAGACTCACAATAGGCTGTCAGCCTGAGGAGATTCAAACACATCTCTTACCTCTCAGGAGAATGCCCTATCTACCAGGTTATAGAATAGGCGTCACATATCCTAGTGAAGACAAGAAACTGGTTCATGGGCCAGAACACAAACAAAGAAGAGAGACCATGGCTCTACAGCTTAGCAATGAGGGCACTCCTTTAGGAGAGGGGAGCCTAGGTTCTGTCCTCACCGCCTAGCTTATCTCAGCTTTTTATATAATGGAAGCCTAATGTAAACTGTAGCAAGAGTCCCCTCCTAGCTGGCCCTCCGTTTTTACTTATATGCACTTCGTGCAAGTTCAACTAAGCCATGCAAACTCCTCCAATCAGGTATACAAGTGGCAGCTTGGTTCACAAAGAAGTGCACGTGTACTTAAGCATGTGTCTGTTTAAAAACTTGAGTTTGATTAGGAACATGGAAATTGCCATAGAGGCATCAGTCCATCTAGTCCAGTATCTTGTCTGGGACAATGACCCACGCTGGCTCCTTCTGAGGAACACGTGATGTGACTTGGTGTAATGTGATGCAATGCAACACAATGGGATACGTAAAGAGTGATTATTGACTCTCCTGCCGGGAGAGCATGGTGCAACTCAAAACTACATCTTCAGCTTCTACAGCTCAAGTGAGCTACAGCTGCTAGCCTGGAAGGAGCAGTATGAGAGTTAGTTCCAGGGGCTCATGGGCACAAGGAGGTAGAGTACACCCTAATACATCATTTACCAATGCACCTTCCTGCTGCACAGCCAGTCAACTGGCCCAGACTCTTCCTTTCTCTTTTATGGGGTTTCTCAGTGTAGTAAGGATGGAGCACCCCCACATTCTTTTGAGGGCAAAAACTGCAATACTGCCAGGATATGGAATAAGGTGAAAGCTCCTTGTGCCCTCTCCTTCACTGCACTTCACATGTTACAGTTATTATACAATTTACTGGTTAATTGTGCAATGAACTGAGACCAGTTATACATGCAAAGTACCTATCATACCATAAAAAGTCCCGACCAGCTATAAAGTTAGACCTTGAAAATGTGTACTAACCTTACAGCTGGTTGGTATTCAGATTTAATATGCATGCATAGCAGAGTCTGCCCCTGTGGCTGGGAGCCCCATCAGCTGACCAGACTCCCAGCTGCAGGGATGCACCAGACGCAGCCAGGGCTGGGAGTCCCACAGCTAAGGGGAGTCCTGAGCTGAGGGGCACTGCTGTGACCAGGGGTGCGTGGGTCACCCCCCGTGGCTCAGAGACCACAGCAGCTGTGATCTCCCAGCTGCAGGGGTACACCATGCACCCCCAGGATTGAAAGATTCCAGTGGAGCTGCTGCAATCTCTCTAGGAGATTCACATGTGGCATGGCAGGATTATGTGTATCGCATATTAGATCCCCTAGTAGCTTTACCCGTACGTGGGGGTAGGGGGGGATGACCCTAAGTAACTTGTCCAAAATCACAGGGTGCTGATTACAGAGACAAGGAAACAGCAGATATGACTCTTCATTCCCTGCTCTAATCATTAGACCATGACAGTTCCTACAGAAAGAACTTCACTGTCCAGTGCTCTCTATAAGGCACATTTCAGAAAACTACATGCACCAGAAAGGTAAAATACCCCCAAATCTTATTTTCTTTTTTAAAAAGCTGGCTGCATGTGAACACTGCCCAGTGATAAGGCAACTGGGGCCATTTTCCTTATTAGGGTACACCATCAAACTTTAACCTGCCTTATAATTTAGCCACCTTGGAACAGGATCATTGCTTGTGCAACATGACCATTAACACTTAATTTTTATCTGGATTAGTAGCCTTTATCAAAATTTTCCCATTGGTTAACTGTGTCATCCTAAGTATTTCCATAATTAATCTGCAATAAAATGAAGCACAGCGGGACACTGGCCTCTACAAGAGCAAATTTATCATCTCTTAAATGAGCTTTTCAGCATGTTTTTGCATACTTATTTGGAAATGGAGCTTTTTAGTAAGTAAGAACATTTGGAACATGACACTGAGCAGAGCTGCATTTATGAACAAGTCATACATCACTGAAGTCAGGTTTCTGTTTTATATGTACATGGATACAGTACTCCAGCTGCGGCTTCACCAAGGCCGAGTACAGCGGATCCCAATGGAGAATACTAAAGGAAAAGAGAAATCCAGCCAGACATACAAATGCAATCCACTCCATAAAGGAAGATGGGATTAGTTTAATAAGCATCTTTGTATGTGTGATAAAAGGCTGTCTGAGAGATTACTTTGAAAACTATGAAACATTCTGAAGTTAGCAACTGAAGGAGGCCCTGGTATTCCTTAAATAGTTAACTGATCTAGTCTACCAGATGTAGTAATAGCAACGTTGAGAAAAACCTTATAATTCCTGCCTTAGAGGCCAAACTTATTTGTTCCCCTACGTTTGAACTTGCTGGAGATGGAGCAGATAATTTCTACCCAAACCACCTTTCAGGAACTCTCAGGCTTGGGACAGACATTAAAAAAGCCTGAGACTGAACTGATTCAATCTTTGCAGGTTAGTCTAACCTGGCTAGGCTAAATCAGTTTTGTAACCATACAGACATCCCAGAAATGCAGGCACATGCTTGGAGTGGCTCAGGCTAGAAGCTGGGGGTGGGGGTGCTAGAGCAGTCTTCCTTTCTCTTGTACAGTGCTGAGCTGAGGGTGCACAGCCAGGCCCCAGCAGGATGCTCTGATTAGGGAGGGGTTCCCCCCCAGCCCAGCAGGGAATGTTTATCTCCCCTGACTCAGTGTTTATCACTCCTTTAAGAAAACAGAGGGACATTGCCAGCTATCAGTTGATTCTGCCTTTGTCCCGTGTGCCACAGCTCGGAGGTAGCTAGCATGTGGTCTGCTGGCTAATCCTGATATGTCTGTGAGGGATGGGGAATGCCTGCTTAGCAGAGAGTGGGGGTGGGGAGGGGAGCAGAAGCAGAGAGTAGGGGAGGGAGGGGAGCAGAAGCCAGGCAGGCGCCTACAGTCTGTGCCAAGATGCAGCCAGGGAGCCAAAGGGAGGAGCCAGCCCTGCTGTGGAGCAGAGAGCCCTGCCCAGGCCAGAGAGCATGCTGGGATGCTGGGGGAGTCTGATGTAATTTAAGCCAGCAAGTGTTCTGGGACAGACATTGCATAAACTGGTTTGAGCCAAATCAGTTGAGTCTGATACTACATTCAACCAGATTTATCTTAAACTGGTTTCAGCCATTTTCATACCAGTGTATGTGCACTGAACGTATGTTCGGTTACAGGTTTAAATCAGTTTTTGATCACTTAAACTGGTTTATGTGTAATGTGTGTCCCTAGCCTTAAAGGCTGCTTTACGTATAGAAGAATAGATTCAAAGGGAAAATCCTTACTTCCAATCAACAAAATGGTCAAACTGGCACTGACTTCCATAGGGCCTGGATTTCAGCCTGAGTCTCTGAATAAAAATGAGGTGGTGTGCAGTATGGTGACAGGTAGGTCTTGGCCTAGGAGACATTTTCAGAGAAATACCATTTTCTGTTCTTAATCTTCATGTCTATCATGGCAGTTAAAATTACCTTCCCCCATCTAAGGTCAGATACAAGACCCCTGCAGTCCTTCCTCTGACACTTTGGACCAGGCACCTATTACTTTGAGTGTGTTACACCACAGACACAGGCAAATTTCATTGTTTGGGGGAATGGGGATATAGTTAAAAAAAACCAACATAGCATCTGCTGAAAGTTGCCATTATACTAATGAACAGAACAAGAAAGGTCTGATGTGGCAGGGCTACCACAGACTTAGAAGCCTCAGCTGCCCAGAAGCCTATCAAAAACCCATCAGGTTCTACTTGGACCCTATGTACAATTGAACATGTGCGTCAAACCCAAGCCATGTTCATGAAATTGTCATTTTCTGATGACACTGTTTAGTTAGAAAAGTTCCAATCAGCAAGTAGAATCAGTATTTTCCTTTATTTTATCTTACTTTATTTTGAAGAGCAATCCTGTGCTCCCTTTTTGGGCTGTTTTCTTATTCTTTCACAGTCTTCTGTGCACAAGGGCTTCTGACTCCCCCCTCTAAGGAGACACCTCCTGGATTGCTCCATCCAGTTGCCACTCTTCAGGGGATGATATCTGGAGTCTCTTGACTGGTTCCTTCATTTTTCTTCCCCATAGTCACTCCAGTATGATTTCTTTGTGCTCTTTCCATGGTGTGATGAGAACATTGGGGAGCCCATGATTCTTTGACCTTCTTTTGCAGCCTTTGACTCCAGTCCGTATTGTGCCTTGGTGACCATTGGGCTTCTAGGTGCCATGTTACTGTCAGAGCTTCGAGGTCCGAGGGGAACTCAGAGGGGTTACAGTCAAGACATAAAAACAACTGTTGTGCGGTATCATCACCAGATCAGGTGTAGGCTGTTTCTCTCCTTTTAGAGACATTCGAGAGCATGTTATGGTGAGTGGTTTGTCTGCAGTTAACCAAAAGTACATCTAAATATTTTAGTTTGGCAGAATGATATGTGTAGTTTTAAATTATGCACTTAGGTAATTCTTACTGAGTAATAAGTGAGGTTAAGCATAAACCCCAAGGTGCTTAAGGCATAGGTGATTAAAAGGAGGAAATTATGTTCCAAAAACAAATTGATCAACTTCCCTTGGTTGTAGCAATATCTCTGACATGGCCTGCAACAGGAACAAAATGTCATTTGCCTGATTGTATGAACCACTTCATCAATCATAAGATGTCTTTCCTTTTGCCAAATTTTGGAAAGCAAGGTGCTTTTTCCCCCTGCTCGCTCTGCTTGATCACTTTTAATGGCTTCCTTATTCAAAAGTTAATAACAGCACATTTTGTTTCTATTGGTCGGTAGCTTTTAAGCAGAAACTGCTTCTGACTAGGTAAGCAGACAAATCTTTCAAACAGTCTAGATTCACTCACAGGAAAAAGGCACAAGACAAACAAGATGTAACAAGCTTCTTCAAGTCACAACAGTGAAGCTATGTTTCAAAAGACTTCAAAGAACACTGGTTGCATGATAACTTTAAGAAAGAAACAGGAAGATTATATTGAAAATACTAAATTGTATACAATAGCTGGCCAGACAATCATTTATACTGAAAGAACATCATTCTGAACTGGTTGAAAACATGTCTTTAATCGGAGAAGTTGATTGCAAGTTTATTTGATTAGTTTGTTTGCAGGTAGAACACCAGCCTAATATTTAAAAGGAAAATATGAAAACCAGGGCTCTTAAAATCATATTCAGTGAATATTTTGAATAATATTCAAATATTCAGTGAATATTTTGAGAAAGTAGCATACAATTATATTACAGGATATGAACAATGGACTGCTCCAATAAAGAGCAGTGGGCTTCACTCCTGCATTGTGTGGATGACGACAAACGTTCAAGAAGATTTCACTGTATTGTGTTATGCAGTTGCCAGTTGGCACAGGTAATCAAAACAGCAAGTAAGGATATGGTACTAAGTCTGCATCTGAGGCTTAACAACAAATACAGATAATGCTGTGATTGTTCCTCATAAAGTATTCTATAGGGTAGGCGTAGAGTAGAATACTCATAAAGTATTCTATAGGTATCAGGTCTAGGACAGGACTGCAATAGGAGGAACTCTGAGCTATACATACTTGTGGCTATGCATATGGTTGTATATTTGGTATGCCATGATCCTGTTAAATCCTTCTTTTATCCCTGTGCTTTAAAGAACACTTAATTCATGTCAGAGAGACATATAATTAGTGGTCACTGGGACAACCAGTATACTTGTACAATGAGTTATAATATTCTGATCAGTTATGTGTTGGAGTAAACTTTCTGATGGTCCAGGAACCCCCTGCCAATATATTTAATGGTATGAATGACCAATTACTCAGCTTCATTTTTTGCAAGCCAAATGTCAGCTTACAGTAAAGCACCTTACATTACTTTGGAACCACCTATCTGTGATAAACCTCACCACTGTTCAGGGACATGTTAGAGATTTGTGCCTGGGGCTTGCTGAACTAAGTACTTAGATGAGTTCCCTTCCCCCTTGGAATAATCCAATTTGCATCAAATGGCAGTTATTTAAGATATATTTCCTGGAGGAAGATGGCCAGATTGCACCTCAGTATCTTGCAAAGTCCACTGTCCTATTGCAGACTGAGCTTCCTGTTCTGCTATTGATGTGCTTTCCCTTAGGTCAGCTTGGCATGGACTGGGAGGGTCTTTGCCTCCCTTTGTAGCATGGCTTTTTTCCTAAAATCTCCTCAGCATATATTAACCAACAAATTCCTTTTCACTGTAGTGCCAGGGCATTGGCAGTGCCCTCATCTCCCCTGCTTTAGCCTCTGGTGTGTGATAGGGTGTTCTTGATGCTTCTGATATTGTGCCTTTTAGCTGTGTGTGAAGGTTTGGAGGGGCAATTTTTGGGGATTCCTTAAGTAAAAGATGGCCTTCAAGTGGACCAGGCCCAGGAAACCCTTTCCAGTGCTATGTTCCTATTCAGTAAGACAGGTCCTCAGATAGTGTATGGCACCATAGTTCTACTTATGACATTGGAAATAATTTGATTTATATGAGTTGAAGAGATGGGTCCACGTATTTTTAAGGAACAATAGCAAGATGTTTTCCACTGAGTATGCATTGCTTTGCACAGGAGCTTTTCTTTCTTCTGCATTGTGAGTATAAGAAAAGATATTTTGTTAAATGGAAAAAAACCTGACAGGTGCTTTGCTCTGTTTGTCTCTGTGGGATTTGTCACAAGGTAAGCCAAGATGTTGTCTTCACCTGCATGATGGCATATGGCCCCCATCTGTCAAAGTGGCACAAAGCTTCAGCATCCTGTGTGACTACTCACTTACTCTGGGTGCCAAGTAGCATGAGAAACTAAAACTGTTTTCTCTCACCTTCAGCTCATAAGGAAACTTTGTCCCTCCTACCTAGATGGGGACCTAGCCATCATTATCCTTGCATTTCACACCTCCAGGCTGGATTACTGCAGTTCACTATATCATAAGCCAACTACAGACAATATATGGGCAGCTGGTATAGAAATGGGCATGAAATGGGCATGGACCATGGAAATAAGCATCAACTGCCCATTTCCTCCATGGTTTAGGCTGCTGTGAGCATATCAAACCACTTTAATTAGTTTGATGACCTTTAGATCATCCCTGCTGCCATTTTTAAGTGCAGGGACACTGATACACGAGATGCAGGAGGCTGTTGGAGTGCAGTAGTTACCACAGTCCAGCAGACTCGATCAATTGAGTCTGCTCCAATGCACTGTAATGACAGCATGTCAGAGCAGCCTCTGTGCTCCTATACAGGTGCCCATAGGTTTTGACATCCTGTCCTGAGACAAAAAAGGAAGTGGAGGAGAAAAAGCAGATTTAACTCATTTAGAAATTCAGAGGCCTAAATGAAGGGGGATCAGTGAAGGGTTGTGTTCTCTGCCTGGAGAAGTTATCAGAGGCACAGAGGGGTGCCAGGTTAATGTCTTGCTCTGTGCCAGCTATTTTTTAATGGTGTTGGGACCAGCTTATTTGTTGTTATACCAATGTATTCTTAGCTCTACTAACATCCCTGGTTGGAATTCTGTAAAAGTACTTAGTCCTTTACTGAACAATGAAACCATAATTAGAGAATCCAGTAACATTAGCAATTAAGACAGCTTGTTTTTTAAAGTGCTCAGTAACACTTTTGGCAACCAGCTGACAACCTCTGGAAATTACTAAACTGCATTATCCAAAAGAACACTCTAAACCCAAGCAATAGTCTATTTTGTTTCCTCCAGTCCTTTGCCTCACTGATAATACAGATACAATCAAACCTTGATTAGACCTAGGGATGATACTGTTATTTGTCTTAGCAATTCATGCATTGCTAGTAGTTATAAAAGTCATTTTGCTTGCTTTGTTTCCTAAAGTATCCCATAAACTGATTTTTTTTTACTATATTACAGCTCTTATTTTGAAGGCTATTTTAGCAGCTGAAAAAGGCAAGAGAAAGAAGGAAACTTAGACTCATGTAGAAAGCAGAAAAATCAAATCCTATATAGCAGAACACCACAACAGAATTTCTGGACTATATCATAAACAGTCATAACCTAACAAGAAACTATGTAAGCTGTACACATTTCATATCTATCAAAAAACAATTGGGCCAAATCTTCAGGTGGAGCAAATTATTGAAGTCCTACGGAAATTTGGCCCAAAACTTTTATTTTTTGTGTACCATCCACACACACACACGTACCCCCACACACTTGCATCTGATCATGAATGGGAACATGCTTTTGGTACCAAAAATGATCCTGGACTCATCTGATCATTATTTGATAGACACATAACTGTAACAGTATTCCTTGGGTATCATCCACTTAGATTACTAGTCACATGGGTAGAACATGAAAATTGGTGTAAGTTTCTCTCTAAAGCAGCAATGTCTTTGTTCTTTCACTTAACCTCTAGAATAAATTAATGAAGAATGTCAGTTACTTACTTCTCTGTCCAAGCCTGTTGTGAGGTTCCTCAGTCAAGATCTAGTATTGAGAAGAGTAGAGAGAATATTTCTTACATAATATTTAGTCCTTATGAAATGTACCCACTGGCTTACTTTATCATTCGTTTGAACATTTACCTAGTTAATTTGCAATAAAATGAGACACAGTGGAACCACTGCACCATAAGAAGACTCAGTACAGTGCCATTAAATCCTTTATGGATTGTTATTTGCATCCATATTTGGAAAAGTTATCTCTGTAAGTGAAAGAAGTTTAAGTGACATATAATTGCAGTCAACTTATGAATGCTATATGTCCCTTTCCCCCCTAGGTTTCTATTTTATTTACATAGACCATAACAAACCATTTGTACAAAACTAGTATTAATCAAAATGAGCTACAGACTGAAACAAAGGGAAACTCTTCCTGAATTGTGGAAGGTATGAAAGTAGCAAATAGGTTCTTCTGCAACAATGCCCAGATGCCACTGCACCACTCTTCTGGGCACTATATACACATAACAAAAAGACAGTCCCTGCCCCAAAGAACTTACAATCTAAATTTTAGATGACAGACAAGTGAATGCACAGTGGACTAAGTGCACCAGCTGCCTAATCATTATCAGCTCTAAGCCCTGTAAAAAAGATGAGAGAAAGAAGCTTTCTGTCTCATGGCTTATGGCTTAGAATTGCTCCAGTGAGAAAGCAAGGGGTTTTTTTGGTGAAGAAGGGCACTTTGGGCCCAAAAGCTTGTCCAATTATTTTTCCGACTATATGGTTGGCCTAATAAAAGACATTACCAAAAAACCCTTGATTCTTGCAAATTACCTGGACCTTCATAGCTACAACATTTCAGTTCCTCCAATGACATTTTGGAAGCCATGATAAAATGCAGACAAACTCAGAACTGCATGGGTCTGGGAACTCAACTCAGAAAGGAGAAGAGCTCTTGCCCTCTTGCAAGGAATGTCCCAAAGATTGTTCCAGGAGTTGAAGCCATTAGGACAACTGTTTCACAGGAGATGATGACTCAGAAGGTGGCTCCTTGATAAAGTGCAATTCAGATATGGCTCATTGTTGAAGCTGTGGAGTAGTACAGCAGCTGAGTCGAGCGTACGCCAATGAGTCCACTTCTACCAAACCACTTAATAAGGCTATAGTAATTCTAGAAGACTTGCACTGTGGACCTTAGAACTGGAAATTACAGTCTAGTAGAATAGAGACAAGCTGCCAAGTACACCACTACACCATCTACTGTGGCATTACATTGTTCTCCTTTAAGTCTCACTTTAAAACATGGGTATCCCCTGCCTGTTAGGTGGTGTCTGTGGCAAAGAGCTAGGAGTCTGTGTTAAAACTAATATGGACTTCTAGCACTATCGTCCTCCCAGAAATTTTAAGAGCTCTTAATGCCTTTTGTAGGTGCCCTTACTGTACAATAGTTCCCCGCTCACAACCACTGAGTCACTGTAAGAAACTTGGGGGAGAAAAAAAGAACTGTATTATTAGAGGGAAAGGGAACACAGCAACAATATGACTAAATTACTCTTAATTCAAATGCTCTGCCAAATGCTCACTTTGGCACTACTCATTAACTCTTTGTATTAATTGTGGGTCAGATCCTCAGCAGTTTTAAATTAGCATGACTCCATTAGTTGCCATGGAACACCACTAGCTGACTGTAGAGCTGGTTCCAAAGAGACTCAAGTCCATCTAGGAAAATAACAATGGCCAACCTCAAGCATTTAAAAATAATGAACCTGAGTTCAAAAAATTACTTTAAAAATAATAATATGTGTTTGAGAATTTCTAGTTGCTTTCTGAGTTTTGACTTTCTAGGGGGGACGCATCCTCAAGGTTTTCTCTGAAACACAGAAGTCTGGAAAATTAATGCATTTAAACACAAGTAAGATTTTCATATAACCATGTGATTTCAGAAGCTGGGGATCTAAGGAAAACATTCATCTCACAAGGTCTATGATGAAGTTACAAGACTCCATGGCAGTGCCATAATTAAGGGGTGGGAGGTGCGGGGTGAGGATGGTGATGGGGGCAACTGGCCCAGGCACTGACTTTGGGGGAAGGGGCAAAAAGAGTGGCTGCTCCTGACAGCTGTGCATTTGTGATCATGCTGCTTCCACTTTGCTCCGGATGCCTGGATGCGTCACTACACTGCTGCTCTATGACACTTTTTTGAGCTAAATTAATATGTACTTACCTGAAACTACAAGAACATGGCATAAACCTTCTCCAATATGAAACAATTCAAACCAGTTGTCACAGAACCCCACCTCTATGAGTCTCCCAGGAGAAAAATGAATGAATGAAAAAATCTCATGTCATAACACTGATTGTGATTATGTCATATTAAAATAGTTTTATGAATTTTAAAGAGCCTTTTGCAAGTGCTAAAACAATGGTTCATAGGTTACTGATATATCAATACAAATATTTGTATAACACGGGTCACTTTATAGTTCCTTAATTAAAATACTTTTGATATAACTTAAACCATATCCATGAAATGATCACTGAAGACTGGGCCTTCTGATAACAGCAGACCATCAAGCGTAGTTCCACATTACTGTATGATTGTGTGCATAACGCGCCCACTGTAGTAATTTTATAGCTTTATTAAAAGGTGGTTTTAAGCACCTTTTTAATGAACATTAAATGAGGCAAATGAAACCTGATACATAAATCCAGGATGGGGCAATAATTTTATGCAAATTCTTCCACTTCAAATAGAAATCAAGTGCAATGGATGTTATCCTATTCATCACATGAGATCTCTACTCCATTCACACATTTGGTTGAATGGAATTCATAAATTTTCTACTCATTGGTCATTCCCAAGAGGAAGAATCTTTAAAATGATTCTGGGGTCTATAATTGCCTGTTCTGATGTCCCTGTCCTTTCCATGCTACTGTAATTAAGGACTGTAAGGTAATGGGTTCTGTATGTATGCACTACTTCCCGTTCCCAGAACTAATCAAGACCTGTCAGACCTTCTCAAGAATATGGGTGTATGAGAAAGAGATTGGATCACCCTTCAGGAGCTGACCTACAGAGCCTGTTTGCCCTACTACTATTAAAACTTCATACTATTCTAGGTAACAAGCATTCTCCTCAGAACTCGCATGTATTCTTCTTTAGCTCAAAGAAGAAAGGCCTGTGTTTATAAAGCAGATGTTCCTGAATACAGTCCCTATTGTCAGCTCTGAAATCTCTGCAGCTTGAGTGTGTGGAGTAAAGTAACCATCATCAAATTGATGTTGTTAAAATCATAACACCGACAACTGTACAATGAGGTAGAGTTCAGAGAAGACCATACTACAACTCAGTACATCCTGCCCTGAGAATAAGTTTAATGCATATCAATTTTCATCCTGAGAAACCCAAGGGAAAAGCAGTATTTGCCCTTTCCTCCTGCATGACAGGCATACCTAGGGACTAACCTGCGGAGGGAAGCTGGACTATGTACCAAGATTAGGAAGAATTGGTACCCATTAATCTTCCTTATCTCCCATGGCTTCAGCATTATCCTTTCCCTGCCATAGCTTGATGAACTTCAGGGCTCAAATTTTACATAATAGCTCAGAGGAATTTGACTCCTGTCACTCCTGCTTGCAACCTGTGGAAGCATACTGATATATACTGAGGTAGAAAAAGGAAAACAATTCATCGCTGTGGTTCAGGGAATAACACAGATCCTTCAGGATGCAAAGCCATCACAGAAGAAAATAGTATTTTCTTTTCAGAAGGATACCAGCAGAACATACAAATCCAGGAGCTAATAATTCTATAGCATTTTGATTTTCACTTTCCTCAAGTGATAAAGGCTTCTGTGTCTTGCTGTTTCTGTCACTGATTCCACTTCCCAGCTGGCTCTAACAGGAAACCTCAGCCTTTCTAAAGAAGGCAAAGGCTGAAAAGCTGCACAATTATAATAATCTTTATTCATCTGTTTACCAGCTTCTGCATGCACTCATAAATACAAACATCTGCTTTACATAGAGCTAGATAAACAACATGCAGGCATTGAGGGAGTCCAGTTCTCCAACTTAGCTGCTTAATTTAGGGGACCAATTTCTCAACTTCAGGCTTGATTTTCAGAGGTGGTGAACGCTCCCCTCCAGCATGAGGCAGTCAAGAAGAGGCACAGGTATTCAGCCTAGAGTCTGCAGCTCTCCAGTAGAGGGGAAGGATGGTCCAGTGGTTAGAAGAGTAGTCAACACTACGTGATGTAGACAAATAGGTCCTGGTACAGTCAATTGATTTTGTGGCTCACTGTAATCTACCCAATCCTTTATAAGATCTTCATTCCACAGGTCTTAGTGACCCTCTCTTTTTTCTGGCCTTGGTGTTCCACCAATCAAGCTATCTTTGTTCTGCAATTTTGCTGCCTGTTAGGTGGTCCTGGTAATGAAGCTCCTACTTCACAGCCCTGAAGACTGTTTTTAACTCATTCCAGTTAACTTATATTTGTTTTTGCTTCAATCTTAAATTGAATAATACAGCCCTAGGCCTTTAGCATACTAGATCCACCCATGAGAGACTGTCAGCCTTTTGGAACTGAGCCCACATATTGTTTTATGTAGAAGGCAGGGATGTTTATTAGGATGCAACTTATAAACTTATCATTAGGGTTTCAAACCCCACCTGGAGTCTCCGGTTGCTCATGTAGTAGAAATAATAAATTACAATAAACTAACCAAAGTTTCTAATATCTTGTGTGTAGTAAATGTGCAGCTAATTGACTTTTTTAGACCAGATAGTGAATATATTGTCTTGAATAAAACATAAAACAAAATCTTGTGGCTAATAAAACCCCCATGGCTTGCTAGTTAACGAAGTGCTATTTTCTATATCAGGTTATTGCATTCAGCCTACCAAAGTCTCTTTTTGGTTTCAGTTGGGTAGAGATCTTCCCTTCCTGCCCTGCATCATTCCACAGTGCTGTCATGCACTCTTAAATCCCAGGTGGGGGCCACATTTTAGTATTGGGTGAAGTAATACCCATGTAACCTTTGTCTCCTTCTAATGGGTGATTTGATATTTATAATGGAAGTGACACATTATTCATTAATGTTGAATGTCAGTGTTGTATTTCACATACGTATTTTATCAAGGAGTGGCTAGCCATTAGAAAACATCATGTTTCCTCCAGTTTCCTTCTTCTGCTTTAAGGACATGAAACATGATGTCATTCATGTTCAAGAACATACTTATTTTTAAATTTGACCTCCAGGGGCCGAAATAATAGATACAAAATAAAAAAGGACAAGATAAATGAATCATTAAAATCAAGCAGCCTTGAGTACGAAAAGTCTTGAATCATTGTTACTATCATAGCACAGCTCCCTTTCAATGTGGATGAGGAAAGCCTAACAGTTTGGGCTTTTTATAGAACTGACTGGCTTGGCTAAGAGCCATGTTTTAGACATAGCATATTAGCAAAATGATAATGAGGTTTCAGGAAAAACTTGACAGAATATAAAAGCATCTGTAAGGGAACAAATGATAAGCAAGCCACGCCTTTACAAAAAAAAAATAAATCAGCCTTTTTTAAATGTTTGTTAAGAAATATTACAAAGGAAAGGGACCTGACAATAGACCCAGGATACTTGGCAGCTAGGGAGTCAGCTTAATTAATTTTTTTCCAGTAATTAATTTAAATATCCATAATTTAATAGACCAAAGTGAACCTTGAGCCCACAAATAAGGAACAGATCTCAAGAAAACATAGTGAGGTTAATATGAGGGTCTAAGAAAATCTGTTCCAAATCTAAAGAAACAAGGAAGCACATGCAGAGTTGCTAACTTTGGCTAATACTAGCAGTCAAACTCATAATGTTTAATCGAATTTATCAAAGTGATATTTTGCACTAATTCATACAAGCAGAATTGTTGAGGACTACTGGGCAATAATGTTCCTGGTTTGCAATTCTTGGGCAATAAAATCCCTGGGTTTGATATTATATTAGTGCCACTGAAGTGATTGACAGGTTAAACTACCTCCTTTTTAAGAATCTGGTGACAAAGCTTCCCTCAAATGGTTTATAGTGGGTGTGTGTGTGGATATGTGGGGTGTGGGTAGGTATGGGATTTGTGGGGGGATGTGTGCGGCAGGGAGGGTGGCTGGGGTATGTGAGGGGGTGTGGGTGTGGGGGTTTGTGTGTAAGGGTGCAAAGGTGCGTGTGGGTAGGACTCACCCTATGAACACAAACTCTGTCCCTCCCTCCATCACTACACTCTCTTTCTCTCTCTCTCTCTTCCTCATTGCTCTCTGTCTCTCTCCCCCTCTCCCTCATAGTACCAATGTGCACAAGCACACATGCACACACCAACACACTCTGTCCCTCCCTCTGTCGCTACACGCACACACACTCTGTTCCTCCCTCCATCACTACACTCTCGCCCTCATTGCTCTCTGTCTTTCTTTCTTTCCCCCTCCCTCATTGCACCAATGCGCATGCACACACACACACACACACACACCCTTCCCACTCCTGGCCCCAGGGTACTGGCATGGCTCCTGCGCTCCAGCAGTCTGGTGATGGAGCCAGAAGCCACATGCTGCCGGACTGACTGGCGGGCAGGGAAGTGCTGAAAGCGGCGGCTGGGGTTGGGGGAGTGGGAGTGAGTGGGTGCGTGCAGCACAGCAACAGCTAGGCAGAAGCATGGAGCCCACGTGGTGTCCCGGGGTCAGTGCCAGTGGGGCCCAGAGCAGGGCAGCAGGAACACAAGTTGACAGGGCTCTACACAGCCAGGCTAGGCTGCACTGGCAGGGAGAGGGGGGAGCCAGCCCAGCTCCATAGAGTTCCTGCCAGACAGGACCCTGTGCTCCTGCTGCCTCACTCTGGTCCCACTGGCACTGACCCTGGGACACTGTGTGGGTCTCACGTTCCCAACCGCCTGTTGCTGCACTCCGTGTGCCTGCTCACTCCCACTCTGCCACCACTTTCAGCTTTTCCCTGCCCACCCACTGGCTGTTCCAGCACCAGGAGCCTCCCAGCTGCATGGCCATGACTGCAGGATTCAGCAGGGGCTGGTCTGGCCTGGTCCCAAGGACTGGGGCCATTACCCGTGGTCCTCCCCTGCCTCCCCGTGCCTTCCCTCTGGGGTGTGGGGAAGCAGGAACAGCTCCATGGTCCCAACCAGAAGCTCTCCTAGGCAGAGGCTTTTGGTTGGGGGTGGGGGTGAGGAGTTTGAGGAGCAGGGCTGGGCAGGCCTTGCTGTTTAGTCCTGCCACTGGCTTCCCCTGGGCCCTACTGCCCCTGGCTTCTGTCCTCTTTGACAGGCAGCCAGTGACAGATAAATATTAATTTTCTAATTTTTTTTATGGGCCCCATGGGCCAGATAGACTGGCCTGGTGGGCTGGATCCAGCCCGTGGGCCATATTTTGCCCACCTCTGGTACACAGAAGAAACTAAGCTGCTCAAAAGTAGAGGCCACTTTTGAAAATGTTGGTCGTACTAGGCAAAAGAGGACAAATTGCACTATACAGACCTCTTTTACTACTTCTGTGGATTAACAGAAGGCAGACCTCTGCATGAAAGAGGTGGGCAGGGGAAAAAAAAGTTTGAAAAGATGCAAGAGACATATATGGTCAATGAAGACAGATTCCTAAGATTTGAGACACAGTGGACATTTAGGAGGAAAGTAGAATGACCTGAAGTAACAGGTGTACACAAAAATATCTGCTTACTTTGCATTTCTTTTGTTTCTCTTAGGTTGTGAACAGATGTTGCATTTGTCTTGGGAAAAAGTCTTTTGTCTTGGGAGGGTACAGATGAATGCATCTGCTGTCCCACTTCAAGTCTCTCTGAAGTATGCTGGGTAAAATGTGCCAGCACTTTTTCCTAAGCCATCTTGTTGCATGTCTGTATGGTTATTGCAGGTTATTCCAGGACAAGCTGGCCTGGATGTATGCTGTCCCTGGCCACCTACTGGCAATGTGTGTAAATGACTGAGGGCTTTGTTACACAGTAAATTTGGGTGGCTCCTGGAGCTCTTAATCCCTGAATTATCTGCACATTAACACCTGAAGCTGGTTTTAAGCACTCATTATGCAGCTCAAAGTTACATCACTCCAGGCCAGAATTCTCTCTGATCTGTACTACCTATCTCATGTTACACTAAGATGAGGCCACTCTGGGCTACACCTTAGTGCAAGAGTGGGCAAAATATGCCTTGCAGGCCAGATCTGGCCCACAGAGGGACTTTGTTCAGCCTGCAGCAGGTCGCTTGGTTCTGTCTGGCCCAAGCACCATCTGGCATGTCATGCATCCCACTTCTCCTGGGCATGCAGTGGCGGCTGGGGGGGCTCCATGGTTGGACTCCCTTTCTAGACAGCTCAGGAAGCAGTGGCTCCTTCCAGCTGCTGCCACTGCCAGCCCCATGAAGACTGACAGGGACCCGTGCCCTGGCCTGGCTTGTGCCCGCTTCAGACCTGCCCTGGCCAGAGCAGACCAGCTCCAAACCAGCTGGGACCCACACACATAGCCCTGGCCCCAGCCTGCCCTGTGCCTGCTCCAGACCAGCCTGTCCACAGTGAGTGGAGGTGGTAGCAGCCAAGCAGAAGTTGCTGCTGGGGATGGAGGACGAGTGGCCACTTTCCCCTCACTGCTGGGCCATTCTTGCTGCAGTCACCTGGAGCCCACCCCCAGGCTGCCCTGTGGCTCCTCTCCACTGCCACTGCTGCCCTGTTGGACTGCCCAGAGGTGGTGGTGGTGATGGCAGTGGATAGGAGCTGCAAGGCTGCATAGATGTAGGCTCCAGGTGGCCGCAACAAGAAGGGGCCAGCAGTGGTGAGGGAGAGATGGCCACTTTTCTCCCATGCCCATAAGCAGCTTCTGCCCAGCTGCTGCCACTGCTGCGCATCGTGGGCAGGCCAGTCCAGAGCAGGCATGGGTCCATGTGCATGGGTCCTGTCTGGTCTGAAGATGGCCCATGTTGGCTGGGGTGAGTCTGGAGTGGGCCCAGGGCAGGCCAGGGCCAGGGCTGCGTGCTCAGCTGCTAATGGGTGCTGGTGATGGCAGTGGTGGCAGAGAGGAGACGTAGGGCACATGGACTCTGGGTTTGGTAAGTGGCTGCAGTTGTGGGGGAGTGCTTATTGGCTCACAACAGCGCCCCAAAACTGCCTATGTGGCTTGCAGTTTCAAATAGTTGCCTACCCCTGCCTTCATATAAACACCCCACCCACTCCCACTCCTCCACTGACCTGGATCAGGTCCACTTCCCCTCCCACCCTCTCCACTCACTGTCCCTCCACCTCACTTACTTGTGGCTGCCTGTGCCATCTGTCCCAGGGGAGCAGGCAGGGAAGGGTTAACCTGCCTGCCCAGCTGCAGCATCAGGCAGGCAAGTTAATCTTTCCCTGTCTGCTCCCCTGGGGCAGACAGCACAAGCAGCCACAAATAAATAATGCCCCAGGGGTGGAGGGAGGCAGGAGGGAAGCCCAAAATGGTGTGGGGGGAGATTCTTACCTTTCACTCCTCCAGGCCCTGCTGACCTGAAGTGTGACTGCTCCAAACTCAAGCTAGCACTAACATCCATCAACATGTGTGGCTCACAGTGTAAGGTGTAACAAGGTCCTGAAACACAAGGCTCTGCTTTAATTGGGTTGAACCCCAGGACAATCAGTCCCAGGTCAACTAGACATCTATTTACAGCCTTACATTTTGATGCTTTAATTTTTCAAGGATGCCTGGAAGAAATAGGAACAATAGGATATGTTTGTCTCATCTCCTCAAGCTCCATTAAAAATCCCTGCCTTTTGTTTTTTCATGCATTTAACATCAATTTATATCTGCTTAACAATGTCAGAAAGAAAGCAGGAGAAAATAAAAACACACAATTCAAAATGTTTGCTTTGAACTCGCTGCCTTCTCTGACTAGCACTGAAAAATGGGAGTTTGTAAAAACAAACACAAAAAAAAGGCAGCGTTTTTCCTACCTGTTGTAGAGAAGCAATCAAAAAATTCTGGAAGAGTCCAGGAAAGATGGGATGTATTTGAAAATGAAATTGTAGGTGCCTAAATGACATTCACTGCTGCCAAAAAGGAATTGATTGCATTAACCATTTTGAACAAGTGCATTGATTACTTTGCAGCTTCACCTTGGCCTGCTTAGTAGCATGCACGGCTGCCTCCTGCAGCAAACTTTTGTTGTCGGAGGTCCCGATCAAGACACCAAAAAGATCAGTACCAGGTGGTCAAGTGACCATTTGGCACACCTGACATAAGAGCAATGGCATTAGCTAGCAGTCCAAAGTACAAAGCAAAGGAACGCTCCCGGAGCCTCTTGTATGTGAACTATTTGTAGTCAAAGACAAATCAAAACAAGCCAGCATCCGGATATTTCTGTTTCACTAGTACAGCTCTTCCCTCTGAGCACCGGGGACTGCTTCTGAGAAGGGTGTAGGACTGTTAGCTGCCTCTCATTCAAAAGGAGTAGCTAGGTTCCTTCAGGAGGTACTCCAGGCATTGCAGAATTAGGTTGTTTGTGTCCTAGATGCATTGATTAGTTACAAGCAAGTAATAATGTGATCATTCTGGTTCACATGGGATGAGTCAGTAGAACTTTTCTGTGTGGCCATATGAGCATTTGAACTATAATTAACGGAACGCTGGATGTGTCATGCCTGAGAGTGCTATACGATCCACCTAAGTAAGAAAGAATTAATGTTATTTTAAAACCTCTAAATCACAGTTAACATCAACCCGCTAATTGAATGAAGATGTTATTTACTTAAATATATTGAATTTGCTGGTTTACTAAATCAACTGTTCCTGCAGTCTCCATAGGAAAGCAAGCTCATTTATGAGCAAAAATATTGGAAAATGCCCAACACATTCCCTGATTCAAATGTAAATTTCTGTCTTTTTAAACTTTTACTGAAATAAATAAATAAATATGTAAATGAGTGAGCAAGCAAACAAACAAACAAATACATGTGATGTGGTTAGGATTTATTGTGACAATTAGTCAAAGAAATTCCTTATGGAATTACAAAACCAGAATATAATAAATTTTTGGGGGGTGATGGCATTATGTCTGTGACATGGAGTACAAAGGAATGGGAATCTGGATTCTATAGGTTCCAGTTCTGGAAAGCATCTATATTCAGCACAGTATGTGCTTAATATGAAGCATATGCTTATGTAGCTATCAAAAGAATTAACCTATCCACCTATGTAACAGGTTTTCTTCCAGGAAATGCCACTTTTAAAGTCCACTGAGTCTCCATAAAAGATCCACCTATAGAGAATATGAAACACTTGGGTAGAATCACGAACCACCCTAATCATCCTGCCTAGTGATGTTCATTTTTTGTTTCTTCAGGCAAGCTGCACATACAGTTAAAGGGGAAAATGCCATCCAATCTCTTCCCCAGTAGACTTTCGGACACTGAAACCACGAGTAAATTTGGCCTTTAATCTTATTTAAAAAAAAATCATACTGTGTTCAGAAAAATGACTTGGGCTTTTTTCTTCAATTTTTGTAGTCTCATCTGTATGCTTAAGTGTCTTATCAAAGCTGGTACAGAGGGGTTCCTAAAGCAGGACCTAAAGCTTTGCCTTAGAGATTGCATTTGCAAACTGAAATCACTCTGATTGTATTTGTGTGCATCAGTCTACTCAGTTATAGACTAGTGTATTTCAGAGCTTCATTCATTACAGATATCTAGCAAGACCACAGGTCTCCAGAAAAAACAGAGGGCACTTCGTATTGCTGGTCTTGGAAATGTACCCAGTAAAATACACTTTAATTAAAAGAAGAAATGCAACTCAAACTTTATTCATATTTCAGGTTGCACTGTTCCATCCTTCTTACACCGCTCTGGTCTTTGGCAGCTGTTTTTATTTTCTATATGTCCCTATGATTGTATTCAGCACAAAGTATTGCTGAATAATCTAACTCAAAACCTGTGTGAGCTAATAATTGACTTGCTACATAACTGAAACAGGTAACCAGGGGGTGGGCGGGGAGTAGGAGCACCTGGAAGCCTGCTGCTATTGCAGTTGCCAGCTGACCCAGGGGCAGGGGAAGGCCCAGAACCACTCATGCCCTGATCCAGTCACATGGTGTGCTGGGTCCCTGCTTCCTCCATCTCCACTGAAGTTTTTCCTGATGGCTTGAGGGATCCAGCTGATGGGAGCAGCTGTGCTGAAGCTTGAGCAGGGCTGGGGAGGGTGGCCTCAGTGGTTGATCCCTCCCCTTCCAGGCACTCCTGTGTACCCCCTGTTTGTCACCTGTGGTCCAGGAGCAGGTGCTGAAACAGAGTGGGGAGTTGGTGGGGGTGGGGACTGTCCACTGATGCTGCCCTGCCTGGTCCTCTGCACATCTGCTCCCTGTAGCTGGAGCCCTCAGACCAGCACGTGAGAGGTGGTGGAGAAAGAGGGAGCAGGGACCTGGTGCCGTATGCAGTCTCTACATGCATCCCCAGTTGGAGGGGGGCAGGAGCAGTTCTGGGGCTTCCCTCACCCTTGGGACAGCAGCAGATGGGCCCTCCCTTCCTCACCTGCTCCCCTCATGGAGCAGGGCACATGGGACTATGAGGAAATGGGTCCACCAGCAGCTGCCCTTCATTGTGGGTGTGACTGCTCCACTTCCCCCCGACCCCATATCCACCCCTGAATGAAAGCATCTCTAAAATGACCCCTACTGAATACATTGATAAATAAACTTTTACCAAAAAAGTTCAATTTAGTAAACAGAGACACATTAGAAAATGATATGACACAGCTGAGATGAAATTTGCCAAGAATTTAGAATATAAATTAAGAGACCAATCAACAAATGATGTGGAATAGCTGAAAATACCATAGGGGGCTGAAAGGAAGGAAAACAAATTAACACACTAGTACAAGCAACAACAAAAGCAAGTGACATTTAAAGAAGTTACCTTGTTCAGAACCTATTTGCAGAAACCAACAAGGTGTCTTGCAACAAAACTCTAAGCAGTGATGTTGAAACTGTACAAGCATCATGTTCCAGAAGGTGAGAAGCCAGGAAGCATAACCAATTTTTTTATCTCCAGTTAAAATGACAAGGCCTTAAATGGCCAAGAAATGTCAAGTGTGGAAAACATGCTTCCTTTAAATACTTCTTTAAAATGTAGCCTTAATTTACATGATAAGACCATTAGAATCCTGTATAATGGTGTTTAGATTTGGGCTCCTAGACCTTAGAGGATTGTTTGACCTAATGTGATCAGAGTAAACCTTGTAATACTACAAGTCTCAGCAGACACAACACAGAACCAGAAGCTATTTGAAAGGAAATGAGAAACAACAATCCATTTTCTTTAAAAGACATATGATTGATACAAAATCATATGGTAGGGATAAAGCATTCAATTTAAGTATAGCTATATACCCATGCTATGATTTAAACAGAGAAACAAAAGAGAAAACATTATATATGAACAATATTATAAAAATATTTTTCTCTAACCGAGGATGAAATTATTTTAAAAGAATGTCTAGAAAAGGAAATGCCACAAAATTCTGCATTTCATGATGATAGTCTGAAATCACGGGATTCAATCTACAACTTACGTAAATCAAAGTAAGTCTATTGACTCCAGTGTAATGATACTAATATGCATCAGGGAAGAGCTGCACCAACATTTTTGACAGCTAATCTCCATGAGTCAATTTCTGTCTCTATTAAGGTCAAAAGCCAACTTTTTTAGGGTACATATAAGCATTACATTTAGATCTATCTAACCAAGGTTAGGTTGATCTTAATATCTGCAGGTATTCACAGGGTTTAAATCACCCTGAAAATGTTGCTCTTGAACTAAGTTAGTTCACCTCAGGAGATGAAATGACTTTAGAACAGCCTAATCATGATCTAAAATGGGTTATCCCAGCCTAACGAATGCCTGCATGCATTCACAGCACAGCCTTGGGGCTGGGAAAGCTGAGCCACTCCCCCTTCCCCCCCATGAAGTCACCAGACCCCCCAGCTTCAGTAGTCCCTTCCTCCTCACCCCCAATTTACTTACCCAGGTAAATGCCTGCAAGTGGCAGAAGTCGACTTAGGTTTAGATGGCTCAAAAAAAGCCACCTAATATCAGTTGTGTTTTCTGAACTTTTGTTTACAGTCCTAAACTAAGTAAAGACTGTCAAAAGCTGGAGGCTAAATTGATTCAATCTTTGCAGGTTAATCTAAGCTGCATAGATTGAACCAATAAGCAAGTCAACAGACATTCACTTTAGATTCCAGAAATGCAGCTACATGCCTGCAGTGTCCCAGGCCAGAAGTCAGGGTGGTGGGTGGGTGTGGTGAAAGGGTGCTACAGCACGCCTCCCTGCTGGGCTGGAGCAGACAGCTTGGGCCAAGGCTAGCCTGCCTACCCTGCGAGGGGGGTTTGCAGGAGAGGTGAAAAGAATCCTGGGATTCTCGGAGACTGTGAGTTAATTTGAATCTGGAGGGGATCTTGGACAGAAGTTCAATAAACTGATTTAACTTAAATCAATTAAGTCTGACACTACATCCATTCAGGCTTATCTTAAACTGGTTTTCGCCATTTTGAAAGCAGTTTATATGCATCAAACTTCTGTTGTGTTACAGATTTAAACCATTTTTCAATCACTTATACTGGTTTATGTGTCATTTCTGTCCCTAGTCCTACAGATTTCAATAGGGCAGTCTGATGGGTCTAAATTCAAAAGTCATTGTCCATTTCTTATTCAGGCAGAACTCCTACTTACATTAATGAGAGTTTTGCCTGAGTCAGGATTCATATTAATTATCAGTGAAGTTTTTTTTTTAAGCTAATAAATGCATTAACAGTGTATAACACAAGAGACTCCATATGTTGCCACATGAAGACAAGGGTATGGGAATAATTTCATTTCATACATTTTGTTATCATGAGTATTTCAAATAAATCAAGGGTGATACAAAGTGCCATCTAAATGGAAAAGTACAAAACACATGCCTTCACACCAGACTGCCAAGAAATTTGTCAACTGCTTCACTGACTGGGATTTTCTTGATTTAAAACTCCCAATCAGGAAAAAACAAGCTTTAGTAGGCTTATGTTTAATGAGGGTCCTCTACACAGAAACCAATTTGTAGAAATGGTCAGCAGGACTAATGGTTT